TGGTGCTAGCTCTCGAGAGGTTGGTGCGACGCCTGTTCCTGTACCGGTTTCTGGTTCTGGGGGTGCTGGAGTTAGAGCTGGAGTTGGAGCTGGAGTTGGAGCTGGAGTTGGCACTGGAGTTTCTGGTTCTGGGGGTGCTGGAGTTGGAGCTGGGGTTGGAGCTGGAGTTTCTGGTTCTGGAGTTGGAGCTGACCAGGTGGGTGCAGAGGACGCTTGTCGTCCGGGAGCTGGTGCTGGCCGCGCGGACACTGGGGGTGCTGCGTCTGGGGGTGAGGGTGCGCCTCCTTTGGGTTCAGGTGAGCCTGGGTCTGGAGCTGGTGTTAGTGCTGCCTCTGGGGGTGGTGAGCCTAGTTCTTCTGGAGTGGACTCTGGAGCTGCCGCTGCTTCGGACACTACTCCGCCCCCCCACCCCTACCCGACTAGGCACCAGGCTCGTGTTCGCCGTGCCCGTGACGATCAGCTGGCGTTGGAGAGAGAGGAGAGGGAGTTACAGCGGCTGGAGGAGCAGCAGCAGCAGCTGGACCCGCAGGAGCAGCAGTCCCAGCAGCAGCCGCGTCCGCAGCAGCAGCAGTCGCAGCCGCAGCAGCAGCAGCCACTTCCTCCTCCTGTCTCGGGTCTTCGGATCCTTGGTCTCCCCTCCCCTTCTCCTCCCTCCTCCGCCTCTCCTCCTGTCTACGGTCCCACGTTTCCTCCTCCTGACTCCTCCCCCGCTGTTTTCCCCAGTTCTCCGCCCTTGTCCTCTTCTCCTCCGTCTCGTTCTTGGGCTACTCGTCGCTCCCCTCGTGCTCGTCCCTCGTCTCCTGTTCCCTTCACTGACCTTCGTACTGCCTTCCTTCTTTCTAGTCCACCTCGTCCGTCTCAGTCTGTGCTTCCGTCTCCTCCTGAGTCGGCCCTCACTGTGTCGCTCCCTACTCCTGTCACTGACTACTACCGCACGTACCGTCCTGTTCTCTCTCGTGTTCTCGCCTCTCTTGTTACTCACCCTCGTGCCTCTGTGTCCTCTGTGTCCGCTCTTACTGCCGCAGTTACTGACTTTGCCTCTACCCGCCGCCTTGACTACGCCACCACGCTTGTGGCTGCTCCTCCTACCAGTCCTCTGGCCGTCGGGGGTGTGTCTGCCCTTGGCTGTGACGCCCTAGAGGACAGGCAGTTTGAGCTAGAGTTCCTGGCGGCCGCTTCCCCTCATCTCTGTGCCATGCTCCTCGCCCCTGAGGGTGACCCCGACGCCCTTGACATTCCGACTCCTCGCACTTACGCTGAGGCAGTGTCAGGGCCTTGGGCCTCTCAGTGGAGAGCTGCCATGGACGCAGAGATGGCCTCCTACAGATCCACAGGCACCTACGTCGATGAGGTTCCCCCCCCGGGGGCGAACGTAGTCGACGGCATGTGGATCTACAGGGTGAAGCGGCCACCGGGATCTCCCCCGGTCTTCAAGGCGCGCTACGTGGCTAGAGGTTTCAGTCAGCGCGAGGGAGTTGACTTCTTTCAGACCTTCGCACCTACCCCGAAGATGACCACTCTTCGGGTGTTACTACACGTAGCAGCACAGAGAGACTACGAGTTACACTCTCTTGACTTCTCCACTGCTTTCCTTCAGGGCAGCCTACACGAGGAGGTCTGGTTGCGTCGTCCCTCGGCCTTCACTGGCACCTTCCCTCCTGGGACCCAGTGGAGGCTGAGGCGACCTGTTTACGGTCTTCGCCAGGCCCCTCGTGAGTGGCACGACACTCTGCGTTCTACCCTCTCTGACCTTGGGTTCCAGCCGTCTTCTGCCGACCCGTCGCTGTTCGTTCGTCGTGGCTCCACACCGTTCTTTGTTCTGGTTTACGTCGACGACCTCGTTTTCGCCACTCCGGACAGGGTTGCTTTGGCAGACGTGAAGTCCGAACTGCAGAAGAGACACACGTGCACTGATCTTGGTGAACTGCGCCACTACCTTGGCCTGCAGATCACCAGGGACAGAGCCGCTCGCACCATTACACTCTCACAGTCACACATGGTGCAGCAGGTCCTTCAGCGGTTCGGGCTTCAGCACTCCACCGTACAGCGCACACCTCTAGCTGTTGACCACAGACTCACTGGTCCCTTTCCTGACGAGCCGTTTGAGCCTAGTGGTCCCTACGCAGAGCTTGTGGGTTGCCTCATGTACCTGATGACTTGTACTCGCCCGGACCTCGCCTTCCCTCTCAGCATCCTTGCGCGCTTTGTTGCGCCAGGGAGACACCGTCCTGTTCACTGGACGGCAGCTGTGAGGGTGGCGAAGTACCTAGCGACTACATCAGGCGTGGGGCTAGTTCTTGGAGGGCAGCAGTCTGTCGTACTCACTGGTCACTGTGACTCCTCTTACGCTGACGACGCTGAGACTCACAGGTCTACTCAGGGGTACTGTTTCAGTCTGGGTTCTGGAGCTGTTTCCTGGCGTTCCACGCGCTCCTCTTCTGTCTCGACCTCTACAGCTGAGGCTGAGATTTACGCTGGTGCCATGGCGGCACAGGAGTTGCGGTGGTTGACCTTCTTGCTCACTGACCTTGGTGAGCGGCCGAGCTCTGCACCGACCTTGTTTACTGACAACAAGGCGTCGATCCTCCTCTGTCGTGAGCCGCGACTGGAGAGCAGAGTGAAGCACATTCACATCAGGTACTTTCTTCTGCGAGAGTTGCAGAGGCGTGGACAGGCTCGCTTCGAGTTCGTAGAGTCCGAGGCCAACACTGCAGACATCTTCACCAAGGCGCTTCCGCCTTGTGACCACCAGAGGTGTTGTGTGCAGTTAGGCCTTGTTGACACAGGTTCTAGTCATGCGTAGACTTGAGTTTATTGCCTGCTTCGTCTGTACATTTACTATATATACTTGTGATCTCTTGGACTGGCCTTGTGGCCACTGTTGCTTGTGCTCAGAGTGTGTGGTGACGTTGTGATCCACCCTGAGCTTTGTTTTCTTTTGGACTGGTCTTGTGACCGTACTCTTTTTGTTTTTGCTAGACACCCCTCACTTAGGCTATGGGGGTGTGTCAAATGTTGTAGCCTGTAGTGAGGTTTGTCTTAGGGGGTACAGAAGTTAGGGTTTGTCATATGTACCCCAACCAACATCAATGCAACACTCATTCCTCATTCTGACACACTGACCCGCTACTTAACAAGCCTTTTTATCCCAAATGGTCTAGTGGTTGGGATTCTGACATGGTATCAGAGCGGTCTCGGGTTCGATTCCCGGTGTATGCACATGTAGGCCGGTGCCGCTGTGCTTAGTCCTGGGCCTCCCAGTGTGGGGGGATGTCAGTTGATCTGCACTGTGGATGCCCGATTGATCCTGGAGAGGGTTACAGGCGCGTTTGCCTAGGGGGTTATGGGTGCACTGACCCGCTACTTAACAAGCCATTTTATCCCAATGGTCTAGTGGTTGGGATTCTGACACTGGCTTGTAGAGTACGATAGGTCCGGGCGGCAGGTGATCGCTGCGAAGAGGAGGCATCCCAGCTTCCTTCGGTAGTCGCGTATGCCGGCGGGCTTGAGTAGAGCGGAGCCTTCCTTGTGGTTTCCTGCCGTGTAGCGCTATGGCGTGGAGATGGCGGTCGGCGTGCGTGCGAAGCTTTTGGCGATGGTGTCGGCGTATTTTGCGGCGCTGAGGTAGATTGCGTTTTATTCTTCCTGAATGTTGAGGCCGAGGTATTGTGTGACGGTGGACGAGACTGTGAGCGTCAGGTCTATCTGCAGCTCCCCTTCGAACCAAGTAGTGACGCCGTCGGTCGACCCGATGTAGAGCAGATCGTCTACGTAGACGATTAGTAGGATGTAGTCGGTGCCTTTTGTCAGCCGGTACATTCCCTGGTCGTGAGGTAGCTGGCGAAATCCTATGCGGATAAGTCTTGCGTGCAGGTACTGTTGCAACAGCCTTGGAGCTTGTTTGATGCCGTAGAGCGACTTCAACACTTGACAGACTTGATAAGGTTCTCCGTTGGAGCCGTGCGTGTCAGAACATATAGCTTGTACTTATTGTGTAGGCTATAGTGGGGTAGCCCATAAGGGGTACAACCCAATTAGGGTTAGTACTTGTACTCAGTTCATTCATAGTTCAATCATTCTCGTTTCAGTTTTCTCATGGTATCAGAGCAGGTTCCCTAGTGGGAACTGTGCCTAGGGCCCACCAAGTCGAAACTTTTTTTCTGCCCGGAGCGCGCTCAGCCCGAGTCGCGCTCCTCTCTCTCATCTCGTCGAGCCGCCCTAGCGACTGCGTCGCGCCGCCCTAGCGGCCCCGTCGCCCTAGCGGCCCCGTCGCCCTGGCGGCCCCATCGCCCTAACGGCCCCGTCGCCTAGCCCTACGGCCCAGGCGCCGCCCTGTCCCGGCCCCGCCGCCCTTCGCTGCAGCCCCCCCGCCGCCCTTCACTGCGGCCTCGCCGCCCCTCACTGCGGCCCCGCCGCCCTTCGCTGCGGCCCCGCCGCCCTTCGCTGCGGCCCTGCTGCCCTTCGCTGCGGCCCCGCTGCCCTTCGCTGCGGCCCCGCCGCCCTTCGCTGCGGCCCCGCCGCCCTTCTCTACGGCCCCGCCGCCCTTCTCTGCGGCCCCGCCGCCTCTCTCGCTGCGACCCCGCCGCCTACCTTGCGGCCCCGCCGCCCTTTGCTGCGGCCCCGCCGCCCCTCTCGCTGCGGCCCCGCCGCCCCTCTCGCTGCGGCCCCGCCGCCCCTCTCGCTGCGGCCCCGCCGCCTACCTTGCGGCCCCGCCGCCCCTCGCTTCGGCCCCGCCGCCCCTCCCGCTGCGGCCCCGCCATCTACCTCGCGGCCCCGCCGCCCTCCCAGCGGCCCTGCCGCCCTATCAGCGGCCCTACCGCCCTACGTCACCGAGCCGCCCGTTCCGCCCGAGCAGCCCAAGCCGCCCGAGCCGCCCGAGCCGCCGTGTTGCCGAGCTGCTGTGCTGCTGAGCTGCCCGAACCGCCCTGTCTGGTGAGAGCAGCGCTTCTGTCATTGCACTGCCCCGGTCCTACAGTTAGTGCTGCTAGTGTACTGCTGTCATGGCTACCCCCAGTGTTCTCGCTTTTAACGCTGAGGGTCGAGCCATTGACTTTGAGGTCCGGGTAGATGACCTGCAGCTTTTCCTACAGTGCGATAGGGCAGACGGTCTCTCCCTCTTTGACCTCACCTCTGGCGCCTCCCCTGCCCCTGCTGCTGACGCTGACGCCACTGTTCGCTCCCATTGGGCCACGCGCGATGCTGCTGTACGTCTTGCTGTGCATCGCCACCTGCCTACCTCCAAGCGCGCGCACTTTAGTCAGTACAGGAGTGCTCAGACCTTGTACGACGCTGTAGTTGCGCGCTACTCCACCCCTGCCACTGCTGCACTGAGTCGTCTCATGCTACCGTACCTCTTCCCTGACCTTACTGCCTTTCCCACACTCGCTGACCTCATTACGCACCTCCGCACTAGTGACACCCGCTACCGCGCTGCGCTTCCTACTGACTTCTGCGCCAAGACCCCCCCCCCCCCAAATACTTCACTCTCTACTATTTAGTCACTCGCCTCCCCGACTCTCTTTGCGTAGTCAAGGACCACTTCCTCTCAGTCTGTCCCATCACTCTCACTGTTGACCTCCACGAGAAGTCCCTCCTAGCGGCCGAGAAGAGCATAGTTGCTGTAGGGGCCTCTCATGGTGACCCGCGCACCCCCATCTTTGAGGGGTGTTCCCCCTCCCGCCTACTGCCCTCTGTTGCCTCTGCTGCTGCGGCCGACCTCCTTGGTCTTGAGTCGGTCGGTGCGGCGTCTGCCCCTAGCGGGAGACCCCGCTCTGGCAAGGGCAAGGGGGGCAGGGGCACTGGAGGGGCAAGCGGGGGCGGTGGAGGTGGAGGTGGAGGCGGCGGGGGGAGTGGGGGTGGAGGTGGGAGTGGTGGTGGGGGTGGAGGTGTCGGTGGCGGCAGTGGAGGCGGAGGCGGCGACGGCGGTGGCGGTGGGAGCGGAGGTGGCGGAGGTGGCGGCGGTGGAGGAGGCGGCGGAGGCGGCGGTAGAAGCGGAGGCGGCGGAGGTGGCGGAGGCGGCGGGGGTGGCGGTGGAACTGGTCGCGGGTCTACGCAGAGGAGTGGCTCCGGTGGTGGTCCTCGCCAGCAGCAGCAGCGCGGTTGTGAGACCCTGTCCCCTCAGCAGCTCTGTGAGTGGTACACTGCACGCCAGCGGGGTGGGGGTTTTGGTCCGTGCACCTACGTCCTGCGCACCGGCGACCATGCGGGTGAGCACTGTGGGGGTGCACACCCCACCCAGCGCTGCTTTGGCCGCCTAAAGACGCGTGGCGTCACTAGTTCTCGGAGGCCACACAGATCCCTCGCTGGGGCGAGCTGTCTAGGGCGGGTGTTGCCATCTATGATCTTGATTTTGATGCTATTCTTTCTGCCATGTATGCTGTGTCTATTAGTGATGAGGGTGACTGTTACCGGTGTTTCCCGCCCAATCCGGGCATTGAGACTGCTGCTCTAGGTACTGGTGAGGCGGCTGCCCTAGGTGCTTGCGACACTGCTGCTCTAGGTGCTAGTGCGTCTGCGTCCTCAGGTACTGGTGGGTCTGCGCTCTGAGGTACTACGTCGGCTTCGGCCTCCCTCACCTTCACCCTTGACTCTGGGGCTTCTCGCTCCTTCTTTCGGGACCGCACCACACTCACGCCGCTTAGTCGGCCGGTTGCGGTGTCTCTGGCTGACCCCTCTGGGGGTCCTGTCCTGTCTCACTTCTCCACGGTCCTCCCGTGTCCGGCGGCTCCCTCTGGCACCGTGTCTTGTCTCTACCTCCCCTCGTTCTCTACCAACCTGGTGAGTGGTGCTGACCTACAGGATGGGGGAGTACACCAGTTCACTCCTGCGCATCAGCGAGTGACCCACTACACAGAAGCTAGCACAGGCCGACACCTGGCTACGTTCACCCGTCAGCCGGGGTCGAGCCTGTACACACTGACCACTGCGTCTCCTTCAGTTGTTGAGTCTGGTAGGGTCACTGCGTCAAGTCAGGTGTTTGCTGCAGCGTCCAGGTCTGGTCATGAGTCTGCCCCCTGTTCATGTCGTCTCCTGTCTTACGAGACTCTCCTCTGCCACCACCGCCTTGGTCACCCCTCTCTGCTTCGGCTCAGAGGCATGGCCTCCCGTCTTCTTGTTTCTGGTCTCCCTCGGTCCCTCCCTCCTCTTCTTCAGGGCCCTGGCCCTACCTGTGTCCCCTGTGTCGAGGGACGCCAGCGGGCTGCCCCTCACTCCTCCCAGTTTCCTCCGACAGAGGCCCCGTTGCAGACGCTTCACATGGACGTGTGGGGCCCCGCCCGCGTCCGTGGACAGGGTCACGAGCGCTACTTTCTGCTCGTTGTTAACGACTACTCGCGTTACACCGCAGTCTTCCCCTTGAGCAGCACGGGTGATGTCACTGAGGTGCTGATCGACTGGATCCGCGCAGCTCGTCTCCAGCTCAGGCAGAGCTTTGGCTCGGACTTTCCTGTTCTGCGTCTGCACTCGGACAGAGGCGGAGAGTTTTTGTTTGGCCTTCTGAGAGCCTACTGTCGCGCACGAGCAATCTGTCAGACCTTCACGCTTCCGGACTCTCCGCAATAAAATGGGATTGCTGAGCGCCGCATTGCCATGGTCATGGACGTCGCTCGTACGTCTATGATGCATGCGGCTACCCCCCATTTTCTGTGGCCGTTTGCGGTGAGGTACGCGGCGCATCAGATCAACCTACACCCCAGGGTCTCCAGGCCGGAGACCTCCCAATCCTTGCTGTGGACGGGGAAGGTTAGCAATGCGTCGGCGTTCCGGGTCTGGGGATCTCGGGCGTTTGTCCACGACTTGTCTGCGGACAAGCTGTCCCCTCATGCTGCTCCTTGCGTCTTCCTGGGGTTCCCCCCTGACGCGCCTGGGTGGCAGTTCTACCACCCCACCTCTCGCCACGTTCTGTCCTCCTAGGACGTCACGTTTGATGAGCCGGTCCCCTACTACCGCCTCTTCCCCTACCGCACTCCGTCCCTCCCCCCGCCGCCGCTCTTCCTTGTACCAGGTCCCCCTCCGGTAGACCCCCTCCCCCCTCAGGGTCCGTCCCCTTCAGGTGTGTCCCACGTAGACGCGGTCGAGCCTGTCGAGGTCACTGGTGACTCTGGTGCTGCTGAGGGTGCTGCGACTGGGGGTGCTGAGCCAGGGGGTGCTGAGCCTGGAGGTGCTGCGCCTGGGGTGCTGAGCCTGGGGGTGCTGAGTCTAGGGGTGCTGCGCCTGGGGGTGCTGAGCCTGGGGGTGTTGAGCCTGGGGGTGCTGAGCCTGGGTGTGCTGAGCCTGGGGGTGCTGAGCTTGGAGGTGCTCCGCGTGGAGGTTCTCCGGGTGCTTGGTCTCTGCGGGAGCCACTCTCTCCACGGGAGCTGCGCGAGTGGTTTGCTCGGCGCTGGAGGCGTGCTGCCGGTGTTGGAGGTTCTTCGGCTACTGAGGGTGCTGCTGTCGCGGTTCCCGGAGGTGCTCGTACTGGGAGTACTAGAGCTGCTGGGCCTGCGGGTTCGACTGGAGCTGGTGCTGCTGAGGGTGTTGGAGCTGAGACTACTGCTCCCGGTCCTCCTGCGAGTACTCCTGGTACTGCTGGAGGTTCTGGCGCTAGTGGAGTTACTGCTGGAGCGGGTGCTCCTACTGGGAGTGCTGGTGCTGTACCGGCTGTGTCTTGCGTCGCTGCGCGGCCTCGACCGTACTTCGTTCCACTCCTGCAGCAGGTTCTTGGTCTTCCGCCTTCTACTAGTCCTCCTCCTTCTTTAGAGTGTCCACAGCCAGTCCCGTCACAGTTACAGTTGCAGCCTACCTCCCCTTTGCCTGCTCCTTCTCCCTACACTGGTCCTACTGGAGGTCTTGCTAAGCGTCGTGAGCCTGCGTCTCGTCCTGCGTCGCCTGTCCGGGCTGCTCGCGCTAGTGGTCGTGGTTCGCGTCAGCGTCCTCCTCCTGTCCGTGGCACGCACCGGATGTCTCTGCGTCCCTCCATTGCTCCTCTGCGTGCCCCTCTGCCTTGTCCTCCTGAGTCCTCTCTTCCTGCTTTTGCCGACCCGGAGTCGGACTCTCTTCGTGCTGCCAGTCCTACTGTCACGCGTCTCCTAGCTACTGTCGTCACTGACCCTTCCTTCGAGTCCACTGCTGCGTCTGCCTTAGTTGCTGAGCTGGTCGACTTTGCTGCTCGCTGTCGCCTAGACTACGCTGCTAGTCTTGTCGCTGAGTCTGAGTCTGTCTGTCCTCCGTCCGTCGGGGGTGAGTGTGCTCTTGGCACAGACGTCCTTGAGGATAGGCAGGAGGAGTTCCAGTGCTTGGCAGTTGCTTCACCTCATCTTGTGTCCGTACTGCTTACCCCTGAGGGAGACCCGGATGCACTTGACATCCCGACTCCGCGCTCTTACGCGGAGGCGATAGAGGGTCCCTACTCCTCTCAGTGGCAGGCAGCTATGGATGCAGAGATGGCTTCCTGGAAGTCCACAGGCACCTACGTTGACGGTGTCCCCCCTCTTGGGGCGAACATCGTCAGTGGCATGTGGATCTTCAGGGTGAAGCGGCCGCCGGGTTCTCCGCCTGTCTTCAAGGCGCGTTACATGGCTCGTGGCTTCAGTCATCGGCAGGGAGTTGACTACTTTCAGACCTTCTCTCCCACCCCGAAGATGACCACTCTTCGGGTACTGCTGCACGTTGCTGCTCACCGTGACTACGAGCTGCACTCTCTTGACTTCAGCACAGCTTTCTTGCAGGGCAGCCTGCACGAGGAGATCAGGCTGCGCCGCCCACCTGGCTTCACTAGGTCTTTCCCTCCTGGTACTCAGTGGAGTTTCGGCGTCCAGTCTACGGTCTCCGCCAGGCGCCACGTGAGTGGCACGACACATTGAGGACTACGCTTGCGGCTCTTGGGCTTGCTCCTTCTACTGCCGACTCGTCGCTATTTCTGCGCACCGACACCTCTCTGCCGCCGTTCTACATCCTCGTGTACGTCGACGACTTGGTCTTTGCCACAGCTGACACTGTTGGACTCGCCAACGTGAAGTCCGAGCTGTAGAAGAGACACACGTGCACAAACCTGGGTGAACTGCGCAGCTACCTTGGCTTGCAGATCACCCGGGACAGAGCACAGCGCACCATTACTCTGACCTAGTCACACATGGTGCAACAGGTCCTTCAGCGCTTCGGCTTCACGCACTCCTCACCTCAGGCCACTCCTCTGCCTACTCGCCACTCGCTCTCAGCTCTGCCTTCGGATGAGTCCGTAGAGTCGAGTGGCCCGTACCCAGAGCTTGTTGGCTGCCTCATGTACCTGATGACCTGCACACGACCTGACCTTGCATACCCTCTTAGCATTCTCGCACGCTATGTTGCTCTTGGTAGACCCCGACCAGAGCACATGGCTGCAGCGAAGAGGGTGTTGCGCTACTTGTGCAGTACGTCGTGCATGGGGCTAGTGCGTGGAGGGCGGAGTCTAGTAGTCCTCACTGGGCACGCGGACGCTTCTTGGGCTGACGACCAGGCTACGCAGCGGTCCTCACAGGGCTACACCTTCAGCCTTGGTTCCGGCTCTGTTTCGTGGCGGGCTACTCGCTCGTCTTCCGTTCTTGGCTCCAGTTGTGAGGCAGAGATCTACGCCGGGGCCATGGCTGCACAGGAGCTTCGCTGGCTCACCTACCTGCTGACCGACCTTGGAGAGTCGCCTCGTTCTCCTCCAGTCCTGTACGTAGACAACAAGGCCATGCTGGCCTTGTGTCGAGAGGAGAGACTGGAGCACAGAACAAAGCACATTGCTCTTCGCTACTTTCTTGCTCGTGAGCTACAGCAGCGTGGTCAGTTGCGACTTGCGTACGTGGCCTCTGAGGCCAACACTGCTGATGTCTTCACCAAGGCACTTGCGCCTTGTGATCATCAGCGCTTCTGCACGCAGCTGGGTCTTGTGCCTGTTTTGCCTCACTTACTTACCTCTTGACCTTGCTTGTACTGTTGCATATATATACACCTGCTCTTGCTTGTCTTGTCTTTTATATATATGTACTCCTGCATGTGAACTGGCCTTGTGGCCTTGAACTTGTGCTCGGAATGTGTGGTGACTTTGTGATCCACCCTGAGCTTGCTTTGCTTTGCTTTGTTCGACTGGTCTTGTGACCCCTTGTTCTCCCCCACTTTGCCTATGGGGGTGTGTCAGAACATATAGCTTGTATTTATTATGTAGGCTATAGTGGGATAGCCCATAAGGGGTACAACCCAATTAGGGTTAGTACTTGTACTCAGTTCATTCATAGTTCAATCTTTCTTGTTTTAGTTTTCTCAGTGCGGGAGCTCGACGAAGATCTCAGCGTCAACAGGTGTGTAGAGAAATGCATTCGCGACGTCGATTTGCCGCAGCGACGTCGATTTGCCGCAGCTTCTTTTTCTTCATGGCGGCGATTGCGAGAAGGATTCAAAGTGAGGTGTGTCGGCTGACCGGGGCGAATGTCTCGGTGAAGTCGCGTCCGTGTTCCTGGTCGAAGCCACGTACAACCCAGCGTGCTTTGAATTTGTCGATGGTGCCGCCTGCTTTTGTTTTCACTCAGAAGACCCACTTCCCGGTGAGTATAGTCATGTTTCGTGCCACTCTGAGAGGAACAACTTTCCAGGTGTTGCGCTCCTCTAGTGCCTTCACTTCCCTGTCCATGGCTTCGCGCCACTTTTCCCTGTGCTCCCCCCCCAGAGCCTGCTGAACTGTCGTAGGCTCCTTAGGAATCATAGTGTCGTGGACCGCGGTGACGAGGCCAAGTATCTGGAGGCCACTCTGTGTGTAGCGGGGGAGTGTGGTATCCGCGGGATAAGCTGCTTCGTCACCTGCTTCTGGGTCTGGTATGAAGTTGGGCCCTATGCGTTCAGCTTCGTTGGTGTTGACTTCTGCAGGTGTAACATAACCGTTGTCGGCGAAGTGGTAAAATAATTCGGCATTGACGCTTACGCGAGGGTTTTCGTCATCCATTGGGACATCGACGGAGTAGTACGGGAGAGGTCCGGCTTCCTCTGAGGCTGCGTCCATGTTCTGCTCGTCCCAGTCAGCTTCGTCCACTGTGGAAGCGAAGGCTCGGTCTCCACGAAGTCCACTGGTGAGGTCGCATTGTTCTTCCCCGTTGGCTAGGTAGGAGTTGAGAGTGAGTCGTTCGTAGAAAATCACATCACGTGCTGCCACTGTTTCCTTTGTGTGGACGTCGAAAATCTTCCATGCATTGTAATTAAGGGTGAAAACGAGTAGCACACTATTCGATTTGTATTCGAAATTCGACGAATTGTCGAATACAATTCGAATCGAGTTCACCTTGGTCAGTGCACGTGTGTCTCTTCTGCAGCTCAGACTTCACGTGGGCGAGTCCAGCAGTGTCAGCTGTGGCAAAGACCAAGTCGTCGACGTACACGAGGATGTAGAACGGCGGCAAAGAAGTGTCGGTGCGCAGAAGCAGCGACGGGTCGGCAGTAGAGGGAGCAAAGCCAAGAGCCGCAAGTGTAGTCCTCAGTGTGTCGTGCCACTCACGCGGTGCCTGGCGGAGACCGTAGACTGTCCGCCGGAGGCTCCACTGGGTGCCAGGAGGAAAAGACCCAGTGAAGCCAGGTGGGCGGCGCAGCCAGATCTCCTCGTGCAGGCTGCCCTGCAAGAAAGCTGTGCTGAAGTCGAGAGAGTGCAGCTCGTAGTCACGGTGAGCAGCAACGTGCAGCAGTACCCGAAGAGTGGTCATCTTCGGGGTGGGAGAGAAGGTCTGAAAGTAGTCAACTCCCTGCCGCTGACTGAAGCCACGAGCCACGTAACGCGCCTTGAAGACAGGCGGAGAACCCGGCGGTCGCTTCACCCTGAAAATCCACATGCCACTGACGATGTTCGCCCCAGGAGGGGGAACAGCGTCAATGTAGGTGCCTGTGGACTTCCAGGAAGCCATCTCTGGGTCCATGGCTGGCTGCCACTGAGAGGAGTAGGGACCCTCTATCGCCTCCGCGTAAGAGCGCGGAGTCAGGATGTCAAGTGCATCCGGGTCTCCCTCAAGGGTAAGCAGTACGGACACGAGATGAGGTGAAGCAGCGGCCAAGCACTGGAACTCTTCCTGCCTGTCTTCAAGGACGTCCGTGCCAAGGGCACACTCACCCCCGACGGACGGAGGACAGACAGACTCAGACTCAGCAACAAGACTGGTGGCGTAGTCTAGGCGACAGCGAGCAGCAAAGTCGACGAGCTCAGCAACTAGGGCAGACGCAGCAGTGGACTCAAAGGAAGGGTCAGTGACAACAGTAGCAAGGAGACACGTGACAGTAGGACTGGTAGCACGAAGAGAGTCCGACTCCGAGTCGACAAGAGCAGGAAGAGAAGACTCAGGAGGAGAAGGCAAAGGGGCACGCAGAGGAGCAGTGGACGGACGCAGAGACATCCGGTGCGTGCCAGGGACAGGAGGAGGACGCTAACGCGAACCGCGACCACTAGTGCGAGCAGCAGGGACAGGCGACAAAGGGCGAGACGCAGGCTCACGACGCTCAGCAAGACCTCCAGTAAGACCAGTGTAGGGAGACGGAGCAGGCAGTGGGGAGGCCGGCTGTAACTGTAACTGTGACGGGACCGGCTGTGGACACTCTAAGGGAGGAGGAGGACCAGTAGAAGACGGGAGACCAAGAACCTGCTGAAGGAGAGGAACGAAGTACGGCCGCGGCCGCGCGGCAACTCCAGACTCAGCAGGGACAGCACCAGCACCCCCAGTGGCAGCACCAGCACCAGTAGCAGCTCCAGCTCTAGTACCTCCAGGAGCACCACTACTACCCCCAGCAGGACCGCCTCCAGGACCGACAGTAGTAGCCTCCGCGCCAACACCCGCAGCAGCTCTAGCTCGTAGGTCCAGCAGCTCCAGTACTCCCAGTACGAGCACCTCCGGGACCCGTGGCACCAGCTCCCTTAGCAGCAACAGAACCTCCAGTACTCGTAGCACCTCCAGCTCCAGCAGCTCGCCTCCAGCGCCGGGCAAACCACTCACGCAGCTCTTTTGGAGAGAGTGGCTCCCGGCGAGAAGAAACACCCGAAGAACCGCCAGGCACAGCACCAGCAGGCCCAACTCCCTCAGGCTCCGCACCCCCAGGCTCAGCACCTCCAGGCGTAGCACCGCCAGGCTCAGCACCCCCAGGCTCAGTACCCCCAAGCTCAGCAACCCCAGGCTCAGCACCCCCAGGCGTAGCACCTCTAGGCTCAGCACCCCCAGACTCAGCACCCCAAGGCTCAGCACCCCCAGTCGTAGTACCCTCAGGCTCAGCACCCCCAGGCGTAGCACCCACACGCTCAGCACCCCCAGAGTCAGCACCCCCAGGCTCAGCACCCTCAGCAGCACCAGAGTCACCAGCGACCTCGACAGGCTCAACAGCGTCTACGTGGGACACACCTGAAGGGGTAGGACCCTGAGGGGGGAGGGGGTCTACCGGGGGGGGACCTGGCACAAGGAAGAGCGGTGGCGAGGGGAGGCACGGAGTGCGGTAGGGGAAGAGACGGTAGTAGGGGACCGACTCGTCGAACGTGACGTCCTGGGAGGACAGAATACGGCGAGAGGTGGGGTGGTAGAACTGCCACCCTGGCGCGTCAGGAGGGAAACCCAGGAAGACGCAAGGAGCAGCACGAGGGGACAGCTTGTCCGCAGACAAGTCGCGGACAAACGCCCGAGATCCCTAGACACGGAACGCAGACGTATCGCCAACCTTCCCCGTCCACAGCAAAGCTGGGGAGGTCTCCGGCATGGAGACCCTGGGCTGAAGGTTGATCTGATGCGCCCCGTACCGAACCGCAAACGGCCACAGAAAATGGGGGGCAGCCGCATGCATCATGGACATACGGGCGACGTCCATGACCATGCCAATGCGGCGCTCAGCAATCCCATGAAGGTCCGGAAGCATGAAGGTCTGGCGGATGCCTCGTGCACGACATTAGGCTCGCAAAAGGCTAGAGGAGAACTCTCCGCCTCTGTTAGAGTGCAGACGCAGAACAGGAAAGTCCGAGCCAAAGCTCTGCCTGAGCTTGAGACGAGCTACGCGGATCCAGTCGATCAACACCTCACTGACATCACCCTTGCTGTGCAAGGGGAAGACTGTGGTGTAACGCGAGTAGTTGTCAACCACCAGCAAGAAGTAGCGCTCGTGACCCTGTCCACGGACGCGGGCCGGGCCCCACACGTCCATGTGAAGCGTCTGCTGCGGGGCCTCTGTCGGAGGAAACTGGGAGGAGTGAGGGGTAGTCCGCTGCCGCCCCTCCACACATGGGACGTAGGTAGGGCCAGGCCCCGGAGGAAGGGGAGGGAGGGAGCAGGGAAGACCAGAGACAAAGACACGGGAGGCCATGCTTTGGAGACGAACCAGAGAGGGGTGACCAAGGCGGTGGTGCCAGAGGAGAGTCTTGTGAGACCGGAGGCGACACGAGCAGGGGGCAGACTCAGGACCAGACCTGGACGCTGCAGCTAAAACCTGACCCGACGCAGCTACCTGACCAGACGCAGGGACTGGAGGAGACGCAGTGGTCAGTGTGTACAGGCTCGACCCCGGCCGACGTGTAAACGTGGCCAGGTGTCGGCCTGTCCGAGCGTCCGTGCAGTGGGTCACCCGCTGACTCGCAGGAGTGAACTGGTGAACCCCTGCATCCTGTAGGTCAGCACCACTCACCAAGTTTGTAGAGAACGAGGGGAGGTAAAGACCAGACAGAGTGCCAGAGGGGGCTGCCGGACACGGGAGGACAGTGGAGAAGTGAGCAAGGACAGGACCCCCAGAGGGGTCTGCCAGGGAGACTGCAACTGGCCGACCAAGCGGCGTGAGTGTGGTGCGGTCTCGAAAGAAGGAGCAAGAAGCCTCCGAGTCAAGTGTGAAGGTGTGGGAGGCCGAAGCCGACGCAGTACCTGAGAGTGCAGACTCACCAGTACCGGAGGTTGCAGACGCACTAGCACCTAGAGCAGCAGCCTCGCTAGC